CACACACACACACACACACACACACACACACACAAACAAAAAAAACCCCAAAAAACCGGGGGTGGGGAAGAAGACATAACAACTACAATTCCTTGAAGTTGATACAACAAGCAAACAGAAAGGACATTGTTGGGTGGGAGGGAGGAGAGGGAGGAAGGAGGGAGGTTTCGGTAATGGGCCACAATAATCAACCACATTGTATATCGACAAAATAAAATTTATAATAAAAAAAAAAGTGAAGTTTCTTTCTTTCTTTTTTTTTTTTTTTTTTTTTTTGGCAGCTGACCGGTATGGAGATCTGAATCCTTAGACCTGGGTATTAAAACACAGCTCTCTAACCAACTGAGAAAACCAGCCAAAGGTTAGTGAAGTTCCTAACACAAGACTGGTGGCTGTTGATGCCATTAACTTAAATGGAGAACAGTGGAAAAACAGGTGATGGGGAAAAGATAAAATAATGAGTTCAAGATGCCTCTGCAAGAACTCTGACTCTGAAGATGGAGTACCAGGTTTAAAATCGCAGCTTTGTATTTATTAATTTAACAAATTAATTTATTAACTCTATTTATGACAAAGATAATTTTTGGTTTGTTTTTGCTTGTTTTGACAGCTGGCTGGTACGGGGATCTGAACCCATGACCTTGTTATAAGGCTGTGTGTGCTCTAACCAACTGAGCTAACCAGTCAGCCCCCTTTGCCATTTTTTAATTGGGTTTGGGTTTTTTTGCTATTTAGTTGTTTGAGTTCCTTATATATTTTGGATTATTAACCACTTATCAGAATTATAATTTGGGGCCGGCCCGGTGGCGTACTGGAGAGTGCGCCGCTTGGGAGTGTGGCGGTGCTCCCGCCGAGGGTTCGGATCCCATGTGGAGACCGGTTCCTGCTCACTGGCTGAGCGCGGTGCAGGCGCAACACCGAGGGTTGCGATCCTGTTAGCGGTCAGTAAAAAAGACAAAAAGGAAAAAAAAAAAAAAAGAATTATATTTTGAAAATATTTTCTCCCATTTCATTGGTTGTCTGTTGGCTCTGCTGATTGTTTCATTTTTGTGCAAATGCTTTTTAGTTTGATGTAATCTCGTTTACCTATTTTTGCTTTTGTTGCCTATGCTTTGGGGGTCATATCCAAAAAAATCTTTGCCAAGATTTTTCCAAAAACATAGGGAAATGGGTGAACCTGGAGGACATGCTATGTGAAATAAATCCGACTCAGAAAGGAAAATAGTGCATGATCTCACTTATAGGTGGAATCTAAAAAGAAAAGTCAAATATACAGAGATAGAGAAAAAAACAGGTGCAGGGGCAGGGCAGTAAGGAACCAGGGAAATGTAGGCCAGAAGGCAAAAAGTGGCAGATATGGAGGATGAACAAGGCTAGAGATCTAAACTACAAGGTGAGGACTTTAGTTAACACAGTTGTATTGTATTTGGGAATCCTGCCAA